CCAAAGGCTTGCCCTGTATACTTCCCTGACATTGACTAATTGCAGCCACCACAAACTGTGAACCTTAGGCTAACCCAGTGCCATCCATCTTATGTGTTATGGTATTTCAAAACTGAGGAAGGAATTTATCTTAGGTCATCTACCCCAGCACTTACAAAATAATATAAAATAGTGAAATATGTCCAAATAGTGAAATATATGCAGTCAGCAGCCACACAGTAAAGGCCTTTAAGGATGGGATTCATCTTTCCTAACTCAAGGGTTCTGTAGTGCAGCTGCTAAGGGGCTTCTAGCCAGTAAAGCCACCGGGATTTACGATATATCCACCTAATCAAATGCTTCAGTGTGAGATGGCTCAGCTGTACTGAGCAACCTCCATGGACTAGAGAGGAGAGCCAAGACACCTAGCTCACATGCAGGAATTTACATAGGATAGGAGGTGAACACCGTGCTCTGAATGCAAAATACAGTCGTCCAGAAATTAGTGAGGATGAATTCTGGCACAACAGTGACAGTCACAGTCACACCAATACGTAGCTGGGGAACACGGATAAAAATAGGACCTGTGGGAAAAAGCCACATATTCTGAGGGACTACAATAACCATGGGTTAAACAGTACCATTTCACCAGCATCCCAAAAACATCCAAACATCCCTAGCGGGGTTCAAAGCCTTGCTGTGCTGAGTGCCTCATGACTGTATAATATGACACTCCCTGTCCCCGGAGAACATGTACAGGAGCAGTAAAACCTGTGCATGGTCTTTGCTCATTTTCTCTGGTTTTCTGGTTTCCTTACCATTTTCACGGGGTTCTCACCAAGTGCCCATTTCTCTCCAGGGTTTTGCTGGAACACAGTGATGTGACTTTGGCAAGAACTTGAATTAAATGGGCATATATTGTTATTCACAAACTTTCTGACTATCCAAGGCCAAGCTTGTACCATGACATTATGGGCTTCCTTTTGGGTGATGTCAGGTTATTTCAACACATTTCAAGAACTTCAGCCAAGGCTTAAAAACAGAACAAGGTAACTAAGAAAAATATTTGAAGTATTTGACTGTGTGTGGGCTAAGTTTATATATATGTACATTTGTAAGAATCAGAGCAATTGGGGGGGAAGATAATAAAGAAATATACTCCCTCTAACAAAAAATTCTGCAGCAATCCTTTTTTATTCAGTAAACATGGGAATGAATTTAAGCACTACAACAGGCTGTGTGCTTTAACAATTTGTTAAAGAAAGCAGGAAAAATGCTTAAAACTGTGTTTATTTTTCTTTATGGTAGGTTTGAGCCCAGGTATTTGTTGGTTATCTATCTCCATGTGTCTTCAAAAGTTCTGTGTTCAAAATTGAAAACAAGATCACTTGGCTTTTTAATCCAAATGGAAGCATCAGAGATACAAACGGGTTTCTTTACAGTTGCAGATGAAATTTCCAAAGAAAGGCCCAGGAGGCTTATTAAAGTTGTAGCTGGGAAAAAGGAAAAAAGGAAAAAATAAAACCAAGCATGGACACAAAAAACAGCACTGGCAGCTGGGGACGTGACTCTCCTGAGACAGACAGCCTGAGAGAAGAAAATATCTGGCAAGAGCAAAAAAAAGGAACAAAGAGGAAACAAGTGGATTCAAAGGAGATTGCTTGATAAGGGGCTGTAAAAATTCACAGATTTGCTAAACCATGTAAGTAAGCCAGCTGTATAAGCATCTAGAGTATATTATTTTTAATTAGTTAAAAGTGGTCGTAGAATTGTGGAGTAAAAGGAAAACATGGAAGTTAAGTTACAGAGATCTAGAGAAACATATCAACAATTGTATAACAGAAACAAACTGGGCAGCTGCCTCCAGTTCAGCATTTTATCACTCTGGAAGCTATTTTATGGCCACAGGAAAACAGCAATGAAGGGAATGAGGTCACTTCAGGACATGATTTATTTTGAAACGGCTCTGTATGATGTTTAATGTAAGCACGTTTCACTGCACCACAAAGAATAACGCTACTTAAATCGAGAGAAATTTAAAGCATGTCTGCATGTCTGCAGCAGCGCGTGAAATGGACCTAACACAAACCATGGCTTCATCTTCTCCAACATGAACTGACATTTCTTTCTCTTCTTTGCCTCCAGGATCACGGCCTTCCTGAGCAATGAATGGGTGATTAAATCATTAGCACTAAAGGGAAAGACTCGCACAAGAGTAAAGCTGGACTCCACAGTGGAAACAACAGCTTAGGCTGTGGGTTATGGCCCTTGCTAAGCAAATGACAATGAATGCAAGTCCCTACTAGTACTGACATCTTTTTTTTTTTTTCTCTTTCCAAGATTTAAACTGCATTCCACAGTGTCTGAGCATTCAGTATGAACACGACATTTCTAAATGAAACTGTTGCTATTCACAGCACAACTAGCATTTGTACATAGAAATGCAGCAAGATTTTGGCACCCAGGGCTTATCTTCACTGCAGAGCTAAATTAACATTATAAGGTTGTAATTTGAATGTTGCCTTTATTTTAAGTCCTATTCACATCCAGAAAACTTCATTCAAATATGATGTAGAGTACAAAATAAGGGTAGAAATTAGTTGGTGCAGCCAGACCTCGCATACCTTCCCATAATTCTCATGAACCAAGAAAGGTTAAATTCTCCCAGAATCCACAGTAAAACAGTTTACAGAACAACCTCATGTACCTTTTCTGCTGACTGTAACCCAGACCAAAGTGAACCCCAGAAATCTGTCAGAACCTCTCCTTTTGCTTCTTCTCACAAAGGAGCAAAAGAGGTTTTGATTCGTATTTTTTATTTTGCTTGAAACTGTGGCTTCATGTCCGCTAACGTGGTTCTGCACTCTGCCAGACTGCTCAGCAGCACAAATTTAATCTTGATCACGTGCAGGCATATGACTGTATTTCTGTTAAATCAGACAAAGTACATTATGTGGTTTTCACTGTCTTATCAATTAACACGAAGTTCATGTCAGCCCAGGAGGCTGGATGGTATCTGATCTCCCACAAAGCATGAAGTTAACCCATTACATTCCCCTGATATGAGCTGGCAGAAGTAGAACGCAAGATGCAACTGTGTGCTCTGAGGCCATTTCATTCTGGGTGCCATTAAGAGACCAAAAAGCAGATGGATTGCACCATCCCAGGGTGCCTCAGGCACGGCAGCACACAAGCCAAGCTGCTAGCTGAAGCTGGCAATTTTGAAATGGATTTGCAGTTGTTATTCTTCACCAAATGCTGTGCCACCAACTTAAGGGGATATACAGCTGACAAGATGCAATGACCCAGGCGACTACCAAGCCGGCATACATGCAAGCACACAAGAATTACGGCCCACTGCTCACAAGATTAACGCACAGTGAAGTGACTCGAGGAGACTGAAAGGAACTCCGCCTGATTGCCGAAAAAGCTGCATTCCACTGCACAACCGGCACCGGGACCCAAGTGCCACTAGCGAGGCTCAGCGCCATTCCAGCCCTTCCTTGCAGGCTGCTGCCACCTGCTGGTCGCACTGCTCCCGTGCTGCCACCGTAATAAACAGGGATCTCATTTTCTCCCGTACCACCCGAGATGGAAACGTGGAAACGCGAGTGCTGTAAAAACAAGCGAAGGATTTGTGAAGCACATTTCCTTGAATATCAAAGTTTTAATGCAGTCATCCTGAAATCTTGACATCCCTGATTCACGCAGGAGCAGATTGACACGAAGACAGAGAAATAATATGACACCAAGTTGGGTGGGACTGTCGATCTGCCTGGGGGTAGCAAGGCCCTACAGAGAGATCTGGACAGGCTGGATTGCTGGGCTGAGGCCAATGGGATGAGGTTCAACAAGCCAAATGCCGGGTCCTGCACTTTGGCCGCAACAACCGCAGGCAATGCTGCAGGCTTGGGGTGGAGTGGCTGGAAGACTGCATAGGGGAAATGGACCTGGGGGTGTTGATTGATGCTCAGCTGAACATGAGCCAGCAGTGTGCTCAGGTGGCCAAGAAGGCCAATGGCATCTTGGCTTGCATCAGAAATACTGCAGCCAGCAGGAGCAGGGAAGCGATTGTCTCCCTGCACTCAGCTCTGGTGGCTCCTTGAGTACTGTGTCCAGTTTTGGGCCTCTCACTGCAAGAAAGACATTGAGACCCTGGAGCGGGTTCAAAGAAGGGCCACAAAGCTGGTGAGGGGTCTGGAGCACAGGCCTTACGAGCAGCGGCTGAAGGAGCTGGGATTGTTCAGTCTGGAGAAGAGGACGCTCAGGGGAGACCTCACTGCTCTCTATAACTAGCTGAAGGGAGCTTGTAGTGAGCTGGGGGTCGGCCTCTTCTCTCGTGTAACTGGTGACAGGACCAGAGGGAATGGCTTCAAGCTGCACTAGGGGAGATTTAGGCTGGACGTTAGGAAATACTGCTTTTCTGAAAGAGTGGACAGTCACTGGAATGGGCTGCCCAGGGAGGTGGTGGAGTCACCGACCCTGGAGGTGTTCAAGGAAGCATTGGACTTGGTGTTGAGGGACATGGTGTAGTGAGAACTATTGGTGATAGGTGGATGGTTGGACTGGGTGATCTTGAAGGTCTTTTCCAACCTTGGTGATTCTGTGATTCTGTAATAATAAGCCAAAAGACAACATCTGAAATCAAGCTGCTGCCAACTCGAACAATAGCAGAGCACATCACAAGGCACCGCAGCCCACCCCGCCCTCTGCCACTGAGCACGCCCAAAGCGGGCCCGGAGCTCAGTACGCCGCAACCCCCTGCTCACGCCAGGCCCCGAACTCTCCCGAAAGCTGGGGAGGTTGCCATGGTAGCGGGAGCCAGGGAGGCCCGTACGGCGCGGCCTGGCTTGCCGCTACAGCCGCCCCCGGGCCGGGCGCCGGCGTAGCGCCGTCACGGTCCCGCCCCGGCCTCCTGCCCGCTGCGGGCGCTCGGCTCCAGAGGGCGGCTGAAGAGCGTAGTGGGGCGGCCGCGGGGCGCAGCTCGGTGGGCGGGAAGGCGGTGCCTGGTTACCCGGGGCATGTCAGCGTGCCTGGAAAGCGAGGCAAGGGCGGTTGTGTTAGCGAGCGGTGCAGCTGCGCGAGGCCCCGTTCGCCTCTCCCGCTCCTTTCTGTTCCTTTTATCTTACACCTTACGGCCTAATGCTCCTAAGTAGACCTCGGCGTTCCTCTGTTCAAAGGCCTGCGATAGTTGCCAGCAATTGGTCCCCATCACTGAGCAGACAGCCTGCCATAGCTGCTGTGCTGCCCTGCCTACGTGGCACCAACTGCAGCCTGCACGTTCTGGGCTCTGAAAGCCAGTCCTGCTCTTAACGTGTAAAAATGGCTCAATGGGAAAAAGTTAGCAAGGAGTCCCTGTAACAAATCATTTCCAGTAGCATCACAGACTGTGCTTACCTGCTCTGCTGGGCTGCTCTGAAAGTAATGCTGCCTATTTTGTTATGTTGGCCCACAAAATCAGAGGCTGATAGTAGTGGTAAGATCAGCTGATAGTAGTGGTAAGTTGCTCAGTGGGAGCAACTGAACCTTCCCACGAATATTCCGTTTTGTTGCCCTGTGACAGAGCGCAGCAGAGGGGCAGTCTGACCAAATGGCTCTGACATGAAAGTGCCAGTGAAGCAAAGGTGTGTCATTGCATTCTTCCACATGGAATAAATAGCACCCACTGGCGTTCATCAGCGTTTGCTGAACGGTTATTAAGACCAACAGTGGATCAGAGCCCAGCGAGGCAGCATGTTGTGGTGTGTTTCGAAAAGTGGCAACAGCAGTGCAAAAGTCAAGCCACGTTCTGGACAGCCATGCAGATTTTTACGAGTGCAGAATGCAGGCTGTTTATTGCTGTCAAAAATGCATCACTTATGGTGTTGACTATGTGGGGAAAAAAAGATGCGTTTTGTAGCTGAGAACTTGTTCTTCCAAACAGTGTTATTATGCTGTTTGTGTCTGTTGTAGTTTCCATGGAAATAAATAGGAAGCATTACTTGTAGAGCAACCTTTGTAAATTTCAGACTCTTACTGTATGTAAGACTACACAAAGCCTGTATTAAGAGTTCATCATGCATTTTGTACGTAGCACTGAGAGCAAAGTGAAATCCCACACTTTCTCTTATTTTTTTTACCTGTGCTTTGGTTTGTGAATTATTTTCAGTTCTTCACCTGTGAGAACCAAGCTCTTGATCAGCTATAGGACTAGCGGGTTTTTAGGAACCTTGTATTTGCAGCTGTGGTAAATGTAAATGGGAGCAATAAATAAAGCTGAGTGTGTTTACCAGCTGTGAAAAAGATTGGATGTTAATGACATTCATATTTCAGGAAAGAAATTTGTTTTTTTAATTGACTGTGGTGTTATTGAAAAGGGGCTAGATTGACAACCCAGGAAATATGTGTTCTATGTTAAGGGCAGAAGAGAGGATAAGTGCTGTTGTCCTTTGCAAATGTGCTTCAAATTTAACCCAGGTTAGCAGATAGCTTTTCATTGCCTACGTGCAGCTTGAATTTGAGTGGCTTCTCTTTAATTCTTGCTGAGTGTTAAGCTTGAGATCACCAGTATCAAGTTCCTTACTTCCCTGTGCTAGCACTTATGCTTTGGGATAATTTTGGCATATATCTGCATTGCCGCTGCCCTAGCTATTCTTTTCCATTGCCTCTCTCCCAGTTTTATGCTATTAGACTTTGATGAGTTGGATCAGAGGCATAATTTATGCAGCTGGAAAAACAGACTTTTCTTTCTTATATGAATTTTCTCTTCTGCCTTTTCACCCAACAGTATGATTGCCAGTACTGCACAAGACAGGCATTGGGAAACAGGATGAATGAAAACATGTCTTCTTTGAGAGGCAAATAGAACATGTCAATATTACATTGACATAGTAAACAACTATGCAGATTTGGCCTAATTCTTATTCAAGTCATAAAGTAAACCAAAGCAGAGGTAACTCTTTTTTCTGAACAACAAACTAAAGCTGTACTGCAGTGGTTAAGTGGTTATCAATGCAGCCTAGCCTCTTTTGTGACCTTCATGCATGTGGTTCCTGCTCCTCTTATTAGATGTAGACCCCAACAAGGCAAGAGGAATGCAAGTGGCCAGACTGCAGGTGAAGGTGAAGAGTAATGCCTTGGCTCCCTGCTGCTGCCTGAGCTTTCCTCTTCAGATTTCTGTTAGTGTTTCTTTCATGCCCCATCCCTGGAGGCATTCAAGGCCAGGTTGGATGGAGCCTTGGGCAGCCTGATCTGGTGGGTGGCAGCCATATTGGTGATCTTTAAGATCTCTTTCAACCTAAGCTATTCTGTGATTTTATCATTCTATGATTTATTTTTTTTTTTTTAGGATGAAGACTCCCATAACTCCTGTGTGGCAGAAGACAATCAGCAGTGCACAGTTCATGCAGGTTAGGATCTTCCCAGCTATTCCCTTAAGACTGCTGTGGGGAAGAAAGGAGAGGGAAGAAATGTCAATGCACACATAACTATCAAGATGTAACCAAAATTGGGCTAGGTCTAGTCACGCTTTGTGGTTGTTGACCTAGGTGAGTGATTATCTCCGTTCCATCCTGCAGTGTGTCTTTATCTAGTATTGGTATTTTGCTAGCCAAGTATCCACTAGAGTTAGATAATCAGTAGAATTTGAAAATGGGTTCAGCAGTTTTGTTTTTGGTTAATGTACCTTTCACGTGTGGAATCAATACTCAGATCCTTAAGGTAAGGAGCTGTGGTTTGTTATAATGTTCTTTTGCTCATTGTGAGGAAAAGTAGATTTTGAAGCAAGGTCTAAAGCTGGCTTTCCAAAACAAAAATCAAAAAAACAATTCCTACGAAGCCAATCTCCTGTCTTTTGGCCTGTTCCAAGCAGATAGCCTGAAGGATAGAGGGAATGCTTTGAAAGGGGACATTTTATATCTCTGGCAAAGAGAAGTATTTACCTCTGAATAGTGTGATGGCTGGTGCACAGTACCAGTCCCAAATTTCCAATTACTATTTTTTTTTCAAAGCTTTTCTCTGTCTGTCATGTTTCCATTCAAGTGGCTTCTTATTACTTGGAAGTGCTCCTTGCTGACAAGCAAAGAGGACCTTCTACTTCCTCCAAGTGCCTCTAATGGTAGAATTCTTGATAGCATCAGATTATTACCTCTCCTGTCACGCTAGCGTTACGCTGCTACATACACTGTGTCAGAAGCTTTTTAGGACTAAGCCATTCAGATAATGCACAGAACACATTTTGGCTGATGCGTTGGGATCGTAGAGCATATCATAATAAGCTAGTAATAAAAGCAAGAACAATACCAAATGCTAAGATTTTCAGTAGGAAACCAAGTAAGATATTTCCCGCTCTTGTGCTTTATGGTTTAATGAATTGTCAATTCAATGCTAACTTTAAATGTAATGTGATTTATAGGCTGGAGCACTGAATTTACATTTCACTTGGATGTAATTTTATCGAGCCATGCTTAATGATGCTAATTTCATGTAGATAATCTCTGCAGCCTGTTTCTACTTGAAAGAACAGAAGAGATTGATGCAAGGGTTCTTTCACTTTCTTACAGATTGTGTCTGTGCTGATATTTTTCCAAGGGCAAAACAGTTACCACTTGACTCAGAGGTTGTGGTGCCCCATTTGCAGGAGCTGCAGAATCCATGTGACTTACCACCTGTGGGTCAGTTTTCCCAGGGGTACTGGCCAAACCAATGTGAAGTCAGCAGGGACAGAATTAAGCACATTGGTAAGTTACTGTGTTACACTCAAAATCTAGTCCATGGGCAAAGAGGAAGGGAATCTTGCGGGAAGAACTTACTGTTAGTATTATTGAAACTTTAAGAGAGCTCTTTGATGTGCCAGGCAAATGCCCTGCAAGTTACAGGGACATGTTGCATTGCCTGTGTGGTCAGCAATCCACAACTTCACTCTATAGATGCAGCATCTGTTTTCTTAGTAGTACCATGTGCTGATAGAGAGCAATATAGGAATTCAGAGTAATTGCTGAGTAAACAAGCTGTATAAATAATAGTCTTCCTGCTTGTAGTCTTTTCTGTGTGTCTCCTCTGTTTCAGATTGGATACCCAGTAGTCCTGAGCCATTGTACACTCCAACGGGTTTGGAGATCACACCATCCTACCAACCTCCTGACAAGGGCAATGTCATTTATCTAGGAGAAGGTGAGAACACCCAGAGAAATGTTGCTCTAAGCTGTGGGTAGACTAAGCATCTGCTTTGATGCCAATATTTTATCTCCTTAGTGAACCAAATGCAAAGCCTAATAAAATCAATATAGTGTTTTATTGTTATTTTTAGCACTTCAGAATACATCCTTTTCTAATATATAGGGAAGAAAATTATTTACACAGAGGTCTCATCTACCACATATTCTGCTCATGCAGTTGTTTATCTCAGATGTCCAGCTCGGTTCAAGCCTTTGTATCAGCAACAGTATGAAACAGCTAGAGTGAGTTGGTTATGAAAATAAGAGTGGGAAAAGATTACTTAATGTCAAGCCAAAAGAGAAAATGAAAAATATGAGAGCTGTATAACTGCAAGGTCACTACTAAATTCTGTGTTGGGAGAAATTTTATTTACAGTTGTTTAGCTAAGATTTACAAAGAAAAGCCAGATTGAATCAGTGCTTGATTATAGTCTCCTAAATCTGGCAAAGATTAATTGGACAGAAATGAAGGGGGTTAGTTGTCCTGTACCTCCAACATTATTTGATTATCAGAGTGTTTTTGTGTTGGTTTTTGTTTGTTAGTTTCATTTTGTTTTGTTTCCTGTGCTTATTAAGTTGATACATTTGTCTTAAATGAACTCCAAGCTTCAGGCAGTTGTTGGTTTTGGCCTGAGTCCAATTGTATGTAGATAAGAAGGGATTGTAACGATTTTGCAATTCTAGGGTACCTGGTTGTGTCCATCAAATTTTCAGGCGTGCAGAACTGAAAGGTAGCTGACATTCTTCTTGATGTCAACACGTCTGTGAAGCCTCGGAATACGCTGCTAGAGGTTTTCAATATGCTGAAATACACCATCATTTTATCTAGAAATTCACTACTGCAGCAGCATGAGCATATTATCATGTACTAGTCTGTTGATATATTTGGTGTGGAGGAACACTTCAGGTAGCTTTCCTGCCTTTTGGAAACAAGGCTAGTGATTTCTGTTACAGTCTATTGCTGCTGACCTTAAAAAAAAGGCAGCTTTCCGCTTTCTGGGACACAAACCTCCAGGTTGGTGGCTTTGCCATCCAAATTTAATTTTTAAAACGCTGACATTCTCTGCACTGAAAACTCCACACGATAGGCCAGGCATCTCCAAATAGAAAATTTACAACGCCAGTGCCGCAGACTGATGGCATGTCGTGAGCCATCGCATCCTGAGGGAGGCAGCAGCTGCACTCTCCTGATTCCCACTGAATTTAACTTCAACAGGAACGGGGAGTTAATACCTGGCCAGGGACCATCTGCTGCTGAGCTCCTGCACGCCCTCCTAACATCTAATTTAGGACAGAAAAATGCAATCCTGTGGTGACATGCAGAAAAATCGATGGACTCTGATAGGCATCTCAGATTTTATTCCTACATTTCATTATGTAGCACTTGTCTGATACAGATGTTTCCACGAAGGCTTCGCTGGTTTAACTGCTTTTCTTCCTTCATGATAAAGAAGAGTTTAAAGAAGAAGTAGAGGGTAGAGAAACTGTGAATGGAATTTCAGCTATTCAGAAAGTAATTATTCAAACGGGTATCTGAACCAGCAAAACTAACAATTCTTTTCTAATGATTCAGGGAATTAAAAAGTCTTGGCTCTGCTAAACTGTCTTAAGCCATATTGTCAGAGCTTTTCTAAAACAACAGGAGAGTTCTCTGAGTGCAGCTCACGCTGTCTCATTCTGTGCAGTCATGCTGACTCTGCTCCTGCCGCAGCCGCCACACGACACTGCTGACTTCTGCAGCAGGATATCTGGGCTTCTGGCTTCCAGCAGAGAAAATGCATCTTCTTTCTCTACTTTGTGGGTACACTTTGGGGGTAGCAAGAAGTTTTGATTACTCCAGTATTCTTCACCTTGGTGGCAAAAGCTTTGCTGCTACATTGAGCACTAATACAGAGAAAGCAAAACAAACAAACAAAACAAAACAAAAAGAAAAAAAACTCTGAAAATAATTCTTACCTTCATTTCTAAAGAGAGGATCCTCAATGGATAAAATTATGCAAAGAATATTCTGGAACCTAAATAACTTCCAAGTCAAAAAATATGCTGATGGTGTATCTGGCATTTCTGGTTGTTTGGTTTTTTGTTTGTGTTTTTGTTTGTTCGTTGTTTTTTTTTTTTAAATGTAAAATACTAATGAAAGTTCAGCTGTGCATCTCATCTGAGGAACAGTGCACAAAGTAGCAGAATGGAGCAAAAAGAGAGCTGTTTTCAAACTACGCTAAATATGGTGTGAAAGCATCATTTATAATATGAAAGTAATTGCTCTTGACTTAGGTGTCATCTTTTTAACTTCTAGACTAGGAGAGATTTAAAAAGAAAGTCATGGCAGCAGTTGTCAACTTTCTATTGTTTCTGATGTTTGCTTTGCCTAAGGTCATGCAGTGACAGATTTTAGGCTGGCAGAAATCCATCAAGTTGAGTGGGAATGGGCAGCAAAGCTCCCTGCAATTTCTTCTACATTTACCTGAAGTATGCGATGAAGCTCGGCTACATGCAGTTGTCTGTTTCTAGAAGGAATTTTTAGAAAGATGCATTATTGCCTAAAATGACTCAGACTGAAATGAAATGCCTGTGTTCCACTCTCCCACTAGCTAACTCAGAATTGTATTTTATGTATTCCCAAGTGAGACGTCTCTCCCCTGTGAAACAGATCTTCCATCAGGAAGTGGACAATACACTCATCTTTGAAGCACGATTTGAGAGTGGTAATTTGCAGAAGGTGGTTAAAATGTAAGTTTGTAATCTTTTCCTCTTTTATTATAACAGAGTTATTATCAGAATTGTTATTACCTGTTGCCTGCTTTCACCTTCTAAGCAGGATGTTTCTCTGGGTTTGTCACCTATTTTACACAGTTGAATAAGCTTCAAGTGTAGTTCCAGATGGCCTTTGAATAAAATGATCTGATAGGCATTATGCAATACTGAACGATTTCTGTAATAGTCACCCACACAAATTTTCTTAGGCACATACTTCAAAACACTGTGTAGAGAGCTTATTTTAGAAGTCTTAGTTTTAAGTCCTAAGAAAACCAGCAGTTGCATTATTGACACACTTGATACAAGTGTGGAGGAAATAGGCATCTTCTCCTGGCAGCTGTGCAGTCTTTAAGTGATGACAGTGTAAATCAGCATGATTTGCACCAGATTGACTGTGGGCTACTTTCATGGCAGCCTGCATTGTTTGACACTGAATCATACTGCAGTGCTAACCAGCATCACAACCGTTTGCCTTCTTTTACCTAGCAGAAGTGAATTTGAATACCAGCTGACACTGCGAACTGACCTCTACACAAGCAGGCACGTGCAGTGGTTTTACTTCCAAGTAAGCAATACTCAGGCAGGGATGCCTTATCGCTTCACCATTGTCAACTTCACCAAGCGTAGAAGCCTGTACAGGCATGGTTTGCGGCCGCTGCTGTACTCAGAAGTTGATGCTAAGGAACACAACATTGGCTGGCGAAGGATAGGAAATGAAATCAAGTATTACAAAACCAATGTGAGTGAAGGTGGACGTCAGTATTTCTCACTCACGTGGACATTTCAGTTTCCTCATGACAGAGACATTTGCTATTTTGCCCACTGCTATCCTTACACCTACTCCAACCTGCAGGAGTACCTGGTGGCCATCTCTACAGATCCAATGAAGTCCAAGTTCTGCAAGACTCACATCTTGTGCCATTCCCTGGCAGGAAACACAGTACACGTCTTAACTATCACCAACCCCCCTGAAAGTGGCAAGGACACAAAGAGAAAGGCTGTGATTCTAACTGCAAGAGTGCATCCTGGAGAAACCAACAGCTCCTGGATAATGAAGGGCATTCTGGATTACATTCTTGGTAATTCAGGCAACGCTCATCAGCTCCGGGACACTTTTGTCTTCAAAGTGGTACCAATGTTGAACCCAGATGGTGTGATTGTGGGAAATCATCGCTGCTCTTTAAGGGGTCATGACTTGAACCGCAAATACAAATCTAAAGTGAAGAAATGTTATCCTTCAATCTGGTACACCCGAAACATGATCAGAAGGTAAACTCATTTTCTCTCCCCTTGAAATCAGTTATTTTCCTATTCAGGGTCTCTGTCTTAGTGTGACTTCTCTATGTCCATTTCTGATTCCATATTATTTATCTCTTTAGTACAAATTGATACAAATACTTCTGGTAAGAAAAAAAAAATCAGAAAAAAAAGTAGTGTCACTATTCCTACATTCAATGTTTTTCATCCACTACTGGTTACACATAGTTTTAAATAAGATTTAAATAATATCTGTTTACCTTCAAGTAAATGCTTTGGTATATAAGTCCTTAGCTTGAAAGAGATGGGTACTGCCTTACTTACTGTACTCCTTTTCTGTGAGAATTTATCTCTGTCTTACCATACAAAGACAGCTTGCACTTGTGAGTCCCTATAATTAGTATGAATTATGTGTTCTGATGTGCTACTGACCGTCACACTCAGCTAAGACAGACACATTTGTTATTGCTTCCTTCTTAGCTCCACTATGGATTTTCAACTCTCACCCAGAGCAGAGCCCCAGGCAACACACTGTGATGCCATCACATGTTTCCTGTAGGACTCTGCTTTGACAGGGGTTGGATGTCAGGGGTACAGACTGAAAAAAAAAACAGCAGTATGTCTACCTGGAAATTTTCTTTTAAAAAGCTAGTTAAGTGATAACGTGTTGCAAAATCATGGCACATCATAATAACTGATGTCTTCAGCTTGGACAAGGGAAAAACTATTCACATCATCATTCTGAGCCAGTTGATTTATCCTCCAGTGTTGTAATTGTACAGTGCGTATTATTCTGTACATATATGAGAGCAAAAGAAGCAGATAGGAATGATGGATTTTAGCTGCACAACATGCTGTAGGACACATCTACAGAGGTGAATGTATGTAACTGGACCTGAGAGAAGGACTAAAAGAAGGGAAAAAGGAGAAATGGCAGAGTGGGAAAAAAACAAACACCATATAATCAGGGAGGGACATTGAGGAAGCTGTATAGAAAACAAAAGCAAAACAAGCAACCATAAAACTGTGAACATCTAGTTTTGTGATGCCTATCTTCTGAAATTCATGAAGGTAAGTAGGCTATGAAAGCTTATGAACACAAGGATAAAGATTGCTGATGCATACTGTCATGCCTTCTTGCACAGCCAAGTGTTTAATCCTGGAGAAACTGAGCAGTTTTGCATAGTAGATGTTGTGCTGCAGTAAACTTTGTGCTCAGAATATGAAATCTTACCAATTTATTGCTCTTGAGATTAAACATGAGCTTCAGTGCATCTTACTGACTCAAATTAGTATTTCCGAGGTGGAGAGAAAAGCACAGTTCTAGCAAAGTATTCTGTGTTGTCCCATACTACAGAGTGATGGAGAAGCGTGACATTTTTCTGTATTGTGACATCCATGGTCACAACAGAAAACAAAATGTCTTCATGTACGGTTGTGAGAGAGAGCAGGAGCCAAAAGCACAGCACTTGTGTCCACGTGCCTTTCCACTCTTGCTGAGCAAGAATTGCCCAGATAAGGTAAGCAAATGTCAGGTTAGAAATGCAGTCAGCTGAAATTTCAAACATCAACAAGGATCCCTAAGTTTTCTGTAAGGATGTAACCATATTTGTTAAAAGGCTGTACTGTACCCAGTAAAATAATCTTCAAGTGGCTAAAACTAAGAATGGCAGAAGTACAAAATTGTGATTCCTTTGAAATTCCAGCACTCCAAAGTATATCATGCTAAATTATGTCATAAGGTTAGCATTTCTGAAATAATGAAGAAACCAAAGCGCAAAAATATGAAAGTAACACTATTTAATAATGTGAAAAAACTGGCATTAAATATTACATACTCGTATCTCACCTACTTATATCTACTATAATGTACATACAGTATTTTACAGAATTTTAATGTATTTTAATTTACAGAATTAAAAATAAGTAAACTAAAGAAGTTGAACATTTTCTCCAAGTTGAATCTTTCTAATTTTTTTCAGTTGCAAATTGTGTCAGAATGACCATGTTTTTGTAAGATATTTCAATCAAAAATATTTTTATTAGGAAATTACTGATACTAAAATATGTCGTTTTCCAGCAAGATCTGACTAAAGTAAGCTTCTTTTTGATCAGAAAGATGGCAAAGGTTCAATAAAAAGCAGTACACAAACGAACCTATTAGATGTGATTGCATACTTGCAGCTAATGTTGTCTTCCTGATATTAGTGATAATATGGTGGTTGTGAGCTCCAGATAGTTTGCATCAAACTATTGGTATTAACTCATGAGAGAAGAGCTATTCTGACTTCTTAGTACATTTGTATGTTGGTATACTACAGGATTTGTGGTAACTCACCTGAGCAGCAGTCCATATAAGCTCATTTAGAACAGTTCATACAGCTGCATGAAAGTTGTTTGAGAATTCTCAAATCCTTGAAGTAAATTAAGCTTCTAATTGAAGGCACCTACATCTCCATTATGCCAGTAATAATATTGATTAGTCTGAATATATTGTGCAATATTCAAGTATGGTAGATTGAAAACTCACAATTATGTATCTGGTAGATAGGATATATTTATTAAAAAAAAAAACATTGACATTATTGCACCTTCCTATTCAGTTGAAGTATTAATGGTGTGCCCATCTTCTAAGTTCTCATTTCCAGACTGCTGTTTCAGAGTACGTAAGAGCAAAGAAAGCACAGGTCGAGTTGTAATGTGGAAGATGGGCATCAACAACAGCTACACTTTGGAAGCCTCTGTTTGTGGCTCTAAGCTGGGTGAGACAATTCCCTGTAGCTATTGAGTAAATAATCATCAAACAAGACCTTTCCTTTTCCTTCTTCAGGAAAAATGGTAGCTTGAGCCACCAACCCCTTGTTGGTGTTCTCTCTTACTGGGTAGAAATGAATAATGATTGAAGATAAGATCTGGAAAAAATACCAAAACTGCAGTATTCACCTGGTGACTGTTCAGGCCACCACTATCATTATTACATCTGTACTGTTAAACAACAATATCGGTAAGTGGCAAATTAAAAGTGGAAACTAAAAATATTGGTATGGGAATTAGCTATCCGGAAGAAGATCCTTGGTAAAAATAAATACAGTTGATGTGGACAGTAATATAATACATAGTTAATCTGCTATGCGTAGATAGATTTGTCCATATAGGCAGCATGAAGATCCTTAATGCTATCTGTACAAAAGCCTAGCAGTCATAGACCTACTTCTAGCATCTGTCAGTGACAGTGAGTTTGCAGTCAGCCACTATGCTGGCACACCATAGCTAGCAGTCAGCAAGATGGCTGACGTTTCCATTTCTGATTTGCTCCTACTGATGTGCAGGCTGGAGACGAAGCACCCATTTTGATATCAAAGACTTTGAGTCAATAGGACAGCATTTCTGTGATGCTCTCTTGAACTACTCTGTGGATAATAAGGAGGTAAGGAAAGTCCCTCTGAGCCTTTTCCTCCTTCCTCAGTTCATCCTACTGTCACAAAACATAATCCTCTATGGGGATTACAGTATTTATTATTACAGTACAGATTTATTACTGTACAGATTTACTACTTTATTACAGATTTATTACTGTACAGATTTACAGTATTTATTATTACAGTAACAGTAAATTTGCTAATAGCTTTAATTGAAACATATGTGGTTTTCTTATCATTATCTGTGCCTGAAGGAGCATGAGCAAGTAGTGACACAGCAAGCTAAGGTGGGCTCCGCAGTCCTGAACTCTGATGCATTAGACTGGGATTCCAGGTAATTTAGAACTATTAAGATATTCCACGTATACAAACATATAAAATAATGTAAGTTCTCTGCATCTTGTAAGGAATGAATAAAACTTTCAGTTTTCTCCGAGGAAACGTGAGTTGGATCTACCTCATCTTACTTTCAGTGGCCAGGGTTTACAAGTCAAAAGCTGAGTTTCAAAACTGGTGCTGAAATGGAAGGAAATAAAAGGAGACACAAAATCTTAATGTGCCGTTAGAGAACTGAGAGAAAGCTCAGGGGGAACAAAGAACATGATGCCGTACGGGAGGGGTTGGAGGGGGAAAGCATGTGAAGCAGAACTAAAAGAAGGCTGAGCAGAAGTGGGAGACTTGGATAACCTGGATAAAACAGATCTCTTCCAATAACTAATTTTTCTCTAAGATGATTACGATTTTTGCAAGTTAGCTGTAAAATGAAAATATGGATCTGGCAGACAGGTATCTAAAAAACATATTTACATCTCTACAGAAAATCTCTATAGAAAATACCTGCTAGTGGTTAGAATGAATGCTGTAAAATACGGTTTGCAATCACCAAATCTAGAAATTAAATAAAATGATGCTCGTCTTTTACAGCAGCCGATCTTCTGACAGCTCAGACTCCTACGATATTGCTGCACACCGGCTAAAACTAGGTACTAAGGTATGCTATGAATTTTTATTGGCTGCTTACATTTCTGACCCAAATACCACTAGGGAATAATCGCTAGTGATTATTAGCTTCTATTCCGAAGAAGTCTGGTGTTCAGTCAGTGAGAATAATTAACAAATTAATTAGGTAGCCAATAATTGTGAAGTGCTTACACAATCTGTAGAGATAAAATCCAAATTAACAGTGCAGAGCAATATTGTTATTTAAAAGCTTAACTCAAATTGCCCAGAAGGAAGTGGTACAGTTTCAAAGACAGGCAGATCTCTACCAATCAGATTGTGCCGTGCAGCTGAGCAAGCAGATATAGGATAAGGGTGACGAGGAGGATGTCAACACTTAGCACAAAAAATACTGTGCAGTGATGTCAACCATACTTTGCAGACACTCCATTCAGTGTTCAGGAGTTGTGTTTTCCTCTTGCACATACAGACATACTGTATCACACTGCTGCTAAGCACTGTCAGCGTAAGGCTACCCCACCGCCTATTTCCAATTTGTAGGCAAATTTAGCTCCAGATTTTACAAAGTGCTTTCACTGAATGACAGTGAGACCCTTTATTTTCCTGAAACATTTACTTGCTGCACAAGAATGGACCCAAATCTTTCTGTCTTGTTTATTTCTTTGTTGTCTGTGATTGCTGTAATAATCCACATGATGTTTACTGTAGAGAAGCAAAACAAACTTTTGTGAGTGCATTACTTTTTTAGCCAACAATAATAATTCCTGTAAATTGTTACTTCCTGTTTATGTCACAGATACCGTAAACAACACTAAAAGGGGAAACCATACAAATAAGGTTGTGTACTAAGCATGAATAAAACTGAAGAGATACCCTGTAGCACTTATCAAAACATGCACATAGGCATTTCAGATGACTGGGTTGGTTGACAAGATGTATGACTTGGAGTTTTGGACCTAGTTTTATGACTGATGGAAAGAAGATGCAGTCAGATAAGCTCTGGTGTGTCTTGTTCGTGCAGAGCCCAGCAGCTCTACTTGTCCAGAGCCTCACTGTCGTCCATAGTTTAAGCAGTGCTGCCAGCTTTTGTACCTAAGGAAGATGAAATGCAGACAGGCTCACCCAGCCCACGCAGGGGCTAGTAATTTCTGATGTAGGTTTTGTGTGAGTGGTGCTGACTTTCAGTGTTTACCTACAGCTTGAAATTTCTGCCCTGTGCTAACGAGCCAAATAAGAGTTTCTACTACTGATGCAAATGTTGTTTCCAGGGCTGTGTTGATCATGGGAAGTCGAACATAGTGGGTCGTGTGAAGTGTCCTGCACAGTACAATAACTAATAGCAGAGGGGTAGTGAAAGCACACAGAGGAGGAGGGAGTATTGAGAGATTTTTTTTCCTAAATATACTCTCCATCTTGTCTGGTCGTATAGTATTACTTTTGAGATTCAGTTTGTTCACGTGTGAGTGATAAATCCACACAGGAACATTTCACTGGACTGCATATAAAAAAATAAATCATTCATGAGAACTTCAGAATGAAATTGGTAAATGGACCCTGAAGTTAGCATCTTCTGACTAATGCCAAGTATTGTGGACTTCTCAGTGCGTCTCAGCCTTTCATGTTTTCTTACTCCCCCTCCTCTCATCAGGCTGTGCTTGTGGGATGTGACATGGGGCTGGCATCTCATGAGAACCATGAAAAGTATGCCTAAAACTCAGGGCTTTTCCAGGGCGTTTGATAAAAATAGCCTTGTTTGTGTCAAAAAGCCCATCATGCCAGTCATTGGGATTGATTCCTGTTTTTTTTCTGATGTCCCTGAGCACTGTTTCCTTGTGGTCTATAAATGGCATAAATAAAGCAAGTCACACTTGTTTGCCTAATGCCACACAGCTGCACGTTGAGCTGGCTGCCACGTGATTCTTGTGTAGTTTATCACTGCTTCTTGCAAAACACCCATGTTTGGTATGCTTCCCAGGGATTGTGATTAAAGGCCCTATATTTACATTTATCCCAGTGATAGAAGAGATGTGTAAATCTCTTGTGATTTCAGGGACTTTCAAACTCAGAAGTAGAATTGGAAGTGTGTAACACAGTTTAACTGCAGTAGAGACAAGCACAGAAGACCACTGCAGAACATTAGGGTATCACTTCTCATCATTTAGGTAGACTTGCTTGGTAACATGCAAAAAAGAAATACCCAAGAACAAAGCAAGACAGGAATGCCTGGAATGCCTAATTCCAATACAGGAATATTTGGTAAAGCTTAATTACTTCAGTGTCTGTACCTCAGGCTTTACAATGGTAGTCTGCTGCCGTTGGCTTTGCATGGCAATAACTATAAACACCTGTAGATGTGGCAAAACTGTTAGCTAGGTAGGGCTGCAGTAGATCCCTTCCTGTAATTTATGAAACAAGCGAAGACTTATGTATCCCATGTACATATTTTCATTGTATGATAGTAGAGCAAAGCACAGTGAACAAACACTGTAACAACAGTAAGATGTACTCAGAAAGTAACAGTAGTTTATCAAATGACTTTGAATGAACAGCTCATCACAGTTCTTGCAGCAAATTTCTTACTTTTATCCTCTCATGATTTTGTGTTATCCTTTGTGGAACCATTTCAGTGACTAAATTAATCTTATTAGATCAAAATCCCCGTCCAGCCTGGCCCTGAAGTTCTTTAAGGCATTTGGAAAAGGTGGTTAATGGAACACCACAGGTACAGTAGAGGTTTTGACTGAAATTCATGCTAGAACTTTATGGAGCCCTCAACTGCACTTTTTTAATGTTCAGCTTGGAAAACTACGTGGCCCTCAGAAGTAAAGCAGAAGCACTGCTACTGTTGCCTGTTGCAAACTGTCGTTTGGAAAATAATCATATTAATGTTTCGATGACTGATAGTCTCTTTGTGTACACATGTTATAATGCTGGCTGCTTTATGAATGTTCTAATTAGTTCAGTAGATATTCAGTAGATTCTTCTTCAATACATAGAAGCTTTTTGTATTTTACGCCTTTCTTCTCTTCTAGAAGCCCAGACATTGGAAAAAAACAAAGCAGTGGCAATTAGTACTCCTGAGAAACCCTGTCTCTCCAGGTTCCCAGACTAAAAATAAACCTCCCAAATAGAGTAGGAAGTGAGGTCCCTCGTCAGTATAATATGTTTGTGTCCAGGTTCATAAATATTTGCTGAGCAGAACAAGCATAAGGAATTCAATCTTGAAAAGCTTGCTTACACATATGCCTTCTGGCACTGTGATTATCGTGTTTATTTACAACTTTTTCTTCGTAACTATAATATTCCCTCATGAATAAAAATGTTACATCCTATTTCCTGTGCAGAAAAAAACCAAACCATCAGGAGATCCCTTTAGCAGCACTGCTAAGGACAGAAGTCATGAAAGCAGAAATGTGAGTGATTTTCATCCCAACAGAAACATGCTGTCTTCTTTTTGTGACAGACTGACTGACATGTGTGTGACTGACTGAATGACAGACTGATATATGACAACTTAATTCAACCACTGTAACTCTGAATGAGCAATTTTGTTACCCACAGTTGCTGACCTAGAACAGTCATTGTTTCTTTACTGACAATTGTATCTAATTTATGCCACAGATTTTTATGGAAATATTAACATGAACAAGTCTGAGACAGGAAAAATCATAAAATTCTGTCTCGTGGATATATTATTTGATACATTTAAATTTTTTTGTCACAGAATATGCCTTGGAGCTGGAGCCTATACCAGCTCCCCTTCAGTCTCCAAGATCACTAACATACCACTCACTCAGCTCCACTCATCTCACTTTTAGTATCGTTGAACAAGATTTTTGCTAAGTCCAGTAAAATATTTTCTGTTGTCTTTCTTGTTTAATAGAGAAAAAGGTAATTGTGAATTCTAGGAAAACATTTTTATTTAACAATGGGAATATTGCCAAGCTCCAAGTCTGAAATACTCATGTTGGCAGCATTCATAACAATGCCTTATGCCCCTTCCTTGCACTTAGAGGTGGTACTGAGCACATGTATAGCTACATGGCCCAGCTACTACCCTATGGAATTAATCTTTTTTAAACATGTTACTTCTCCATTACTGTTATTCAGCATCATACAGAACCATTTAGAAAATGTGATATTCATTACAGTTGGCAAACACTTAAAAGTCCTAACTAAAACAATGGTGTCTAATATAGCATTCCTACTTCCCCAGAAAGAAAACTAATTCTATTTTTAAATGCTGAGCACCCAAAAACTTAAAATGTGAGCAGAAAGTGCTGAGCTTTTGAGCTTTTAGAAATCAGGCCAACCACTGAAGTGTCAACTTGCCTTTTGCCCGGAAAAAAAAAAAAGAGAGAGAAAAAAAGCCTGTTGCATATTGACCCGTTCCCTACTACCAATCTTCCCTGTCTTAATTTAGTTGTATTCTCCCAGAACAAGCCATCAGGTGGCTGACTTATTAATAATATGCTTTTCTCATTCATTCTGTGGGAGCTTATTAATAATTTGTTTGTTTTTCTATTCTGTCTCACAGTCCCCAGGCACTGAAATTCAACACAAGATATTTCATGAACTTCACCCAGTAGACAAAGGTAAACATTATATATTTATTTTACTTCTAAAAATCTCAATTAGTCTTTTTTTTTTTTTTTCTTTTATAAGTCTAAACCCCAGGAAAGCAAATAGATAAATACAGGTCCTTTGGCTAGGATTTCACTTAGTACCTGCTTTTGGAAGAGCTCATTTTGCTTTGTTTTAAACTATCTTCATCACATAGTTACATTCATCTTTACTGATTGGGAATAGTCTCACTGGAGAAAAAAAAATGAACTTGAAGCTCAACTTTAAGAGCAGAAATTTACATATTTAACGAACAGTCTTGCAGTGTCCTGAAGGCAGTTTTTTTATGTAGCAGTTACACAGGGAAGGGGGTTGGTAGATTTTCAGGTAGGGATTTAATTAAAAACATTGCTGAGAACTGAGTACTGAAAATCAATGGAATTTGTTAAGCTTAGTTTTCAAAGTTACCCAAAAAGCAATGACACAGTCCACTATCAGATACTCAGAAACACACAAAAACAAGTAAATCTATGAAGAAAGTAGTAATGTAGAAATGCCCCAATTAGGAAAATTCTTGGCCTCACCTCACAGTGCCTCACATGTCAGCATTTATTGATTTTCCTTGTTGTTTTTTAATATATTCCAACAACACCTCAAAGCAGTGCTAACTGCAGCATAATGTCACTTTTTTTTTTTTTTTTCCCCTGCAGCTCATATTATTAGCTCAATTTTGTGACGCTGTTCATACATTTCTTTCTGGTTATGACCTCTCCTGCACAGTTAAATAAGCTGTCTGAAATATTCTGAGAATTACAGAAGGAAATAGAAACATGATTATTTTTTTCACTGAAATAAGAGCTTTGAAATCTGTCCCAGAAGCAATGTCAGCAAATCATATAAAATAGTACTTCAGGCATTATTTTCAAGAGCAGAGCTCTAGAACTGCTCAACCAGGACCGGATGAAAAAAATACAAGTTACCCACATTATCAGTGTTCTAATATAAAACTGTGAGTTTCAGAAGTTCACATGGAACTAGTACACATCAGTTGAACATAGGAATGTGAGTATATATTATTTATTCTCTAACTATACAAAGGATGTTGAAATTTAGTCTCAGGACAATGAGTTGGCATTCATAGAGTGATCTTACTTTGCGTGCTGAAAATCTAACAATGTCTTTCAGTAGCAGTAAGTTTTGGCAGTGACTTTGTTCTTGTTTCTGAATTCCTGTCTTATTTTTCTGTTGGTTGTTTTTGTATGTTTGTTTGTTTTTCCAAAATGTACAGAGCTATTCTACGCTATTAGACTACTTTGTTTTCGTCTTGGATAACTTAATCAGAAAACAAACAAAACCAACCAAATAAAAAGTACTGTGGTAACTGAAAGCAGACAAGCATTGAGTTTATGAAAAGGTTTCTGGGAGAACACGAGTTTCCTGCGCTGCAGAGAGAGGACATGAAATATAACTCCCTTTTCCAGCTTCTAAGTTTGGGCACAAATAACTGCAGCAGTGATTGACTTCTGCAGCACATGCAGTGTCTGTGCTTTTGAACATTATGACTATCAGGGTTTGCCTGCAAAATAGGAGACTGATAAAGAACTTCTGTACAGATTGCTGTTCTTACAGTCCTGGGAGACTTTAAATCACTTTCTTCCCGGGCTGCAGCTGTTCCTACCTATTATGTATTATGCCCAAGGGTAAAAATTAGATCACACAGATCACATTCTATCTAGGCTTTCCTGGAACTGGGTTGCTTAGATGAAAGAAAAAAATAAATCCTGTCTCTTAACTGCCTTGTTATTTCAGTTTTAGACCTGGACTGCATCCCAGAATCTTTTTCTCCTACTGTTTTTTTAAGAAATGTTATAATTAGCAGGATGTGTAGCGAAGGAGGATGCTTACATGTATATGAGAGAAAATAATTTCTAGCCTAAGGGTTGCTGCGACTCAGGTACTTTCATCTCACCTGTGCTGGGCCTCTGTTCAGGTGCTGTCTGAATGCAGTGGCACCACCAGCCTGGAGGCTGCCATGCTGCTTTCAGCTCCTCTGGCTGCTGTGACTGGCATTTCTCATGCCCCAGGGCACCCTGTTCTAACTCAGCCACGCTCCTGCAGTGAATCCTAGCAGCTGAGCAGCTCACAAGATGCATTATCAGTCAAGATTAACCAGATGGCACCACCTCTTCTCTCCCATTGTCATCCACATTGCTTGACCAGCGTGGCTTGATGTAGCAGTGGAGATGTTTGCGAACATCACACATAGTACAGCCATGTGCGTTGCTTCCTGAAGTGGTTGGGTAGCTGTCAGCCTCTATGGTAGCCTAGCATGAGAAACAGCTGTTACTTTTTAATTCAGTTCAAAGGATTCAAACCTGCACTTCCTTGTAGTACTCCATGAGTCCCACTCTCCTTAGCTGTGGGTTTCCTTTCTTCTCTCACTGTTCAGTAGAGCTCTAGACTTGCAGATATTGATCAGAGAATCACAGTCAGGAAAAGAGAAACACAAGAAGGAATACAGGAGGCCATGAGACTTCACTAGCCTCTCTCCATCCTCATGGTCCCTGCTCTGAAGACTGTTTATTTCATTGTCATGTGAATAGCCAGTGTTTGCTTGCCTTAGAGCAGAGACTAGGACTGAGGGCACACTTCAAAACAGAGCTGCAGGCTTACCAAAACAAAATAATCATGTTGCCTTTGGCATTCTCACTCCCTGACGTATAGTTTTATCCATAGTAGAAGCATTTCGTTTGGAGCAGTGTGGAGTGTTTCCATCCCAAAATAGACTTTGGCAAGAGATGAAGAAGGGGATGTGGGGATGTGAGCTAGAATCAGTTCATTGTGAAGGAAGTCGTAACCCCCACAACTCGCCACCCTGAATCTGGATGTTAGTCACTTGATTTGATGTCCATAGATGTCTGCTTACAGTAACTTTACTTATTGCAATCTGTACAAAGCACAGCCATCTCTGAATCTGAACTGGCCAAGACAGAATTTGGGTGATTCATTTTGTTGTTATTTTTTGAGACATATGACATGCACATTGAATATTTTTTCTTTTTTTCCCGATTTTTTACAGTTAAATTGCCAATGACAGCCTCTACCAAACAAGTAGGAAAGTATTTCAGGTAGGAGATTATTTTCTGTGAACTTTTAATTTTTTCACAAGCTGTAGTGAAAGAATGATCGCAAGCTGATTTCTGTCAAACTCATCTCCTCCTTTTCATACTCCTCATTTTTTTTTCATTCACAAACTAAGACAGCTGTCTTCTGTCACTCCATTGCACGGTGGACACTTCAGTCAAAGGTGATGCTAGACAAGAAGAGAGTCCTTCTTACCTAGAGCACCAGACCCCCTCCTTTAGCCTATAGCCCTTCTTTCATCAGCTTTGCTGGAGTGGCAGAGAGAGGCACAGGCACTGATCTGATGCTTTGTTCAAAGAAGGGATGATTTCTGCTGCCTTGGGAGAGAGGGAGGAAGGGAGGGAATGCATTGTCATGCAGCCAGAACGAAACAGTGAGAAGACAAATGCCCAGTGAGAAAACAAATGGGTAGGTGACACTGATAGCCCAAAACAGACATGTACTAATTGTTGTACATTTGTTTAAAACAACATTGTCATGGTTCTGTTACATAGCTCAGTGCTAGACATTCCCTTTGCTTTTAGGGTGTGTCAATTTGACAGTGAACAATGAAGGCAGTACCCTATTGCAAAACCTTATGGCAGTAATAGTGAGTGTTCGTTCCTTGGTAGAACAAATGTTCTGTACCTTCTGTACACTTGGCTGTTGTTTAGTAACAGTCCAAAGTGGAATTAGCTGGCTAGTTAGGCAGCTGCAGATCCTGACAGAATTGCCCTGTAAATAAGGCAAATCAGTTTGTTAATATTAAATAATTTCAAGGATCCCTGCTTGGCACCTTTCAGCTCAGGCTTTTTTTACACATACTTGAAAAAGTTAGGCTTTCAACTGACAAAAGAGAGAAGAAATGTCTTGGTGTCTTTCTTCTGTAATGGCAAGGTATCCCTCTGCTGCTTCTACAATGGGTACTTCTGCCTGACTCAGAAGAGATAGTGGTATAAGGGCTACATAATGTTGGCACTGGTGTCCTTAATGCAGTGTGATGGCCTTGTGGTTCTGTAAAATTTGAAATGCAGTACATTACTTCTTTTTTTCTCCTGTGATTCTTAGGAAATTTATTCTATTAAATTCATCAGGTGAAAGTAGCAGGAGTTTTACCTGTAATGATTTTGTCTTCTAGGTCGTCATCTTCATATATATCTTGTCATGAAATTGTATGGAAATTAAATATCTTTTTGTCCTTATCTCTGTGTGTTTTAGCTCTGAAAGACTCATCTGTAATACTAACAGCGATTGTGAAAAGCCATCTGTGCCAGAGGAGCCAGGAAAAAGTGTATTTTGTGACATAATCCTATCCAGAAGAGAAAATTTCCATTCATCCAGCTTTAATTTGATCTCTCAGAAGACAAAGAAACATAATGGCAAAAGTGTCTCCAACTCTTCACAGAAGACATTTCAGTATTTTAAAGGTTTCTCAGCTATTGTTCTATTCCAAAAATACTGAACAATAGGATTTAGTAAAGCAGTAAGACAGATGGTAGCAGGCAGTAGTAGAGCTGGAAAACTCCTTTGTGTGGCTGGCATTCTATGGAGGATATCAGAACTGGTTTTAATGGAGCTTTCCAGATGAGGCACTGAATGGCCAGAGTGTCTTTAACCTCCTTGAGAACATGGAAAAGAGTTTTTCCCCATGGAAAAGAGTTAGAAAAATCTCAACGCAGTGGTAAGGGATAATGCCTCTGACCCTGCATTACTCTCTTCCTGCAGTTACTGGAGATAAAGGAATGTAAAATCTGATTCTGTGAAATGTAGGAAATGCTGGAGCAGTAGAAACAGGTTCCCTGCCTAAGGCTGAAGCTTTTATATTTTAGTACGAGATTTTGAATTATGCTGTGGCTCTCCTTCAGTAAAGGAAATGTTTCTCCCACAGTACCACAGTATCATGTGAAACAAACCAAAGCCGTGTAATTTTTCAGTAAGTAGTAATTCACTAATAGTTGATGCGGATTTGTTTTTTCCTCCTTTTTGATTCAGGTCATGACCATGGTGCAAAGAGCAATTCAAAAAAGGAAGAACGAAAAACAGGGAGGCTCTCCTCAAAACCCAGAAAACTCGAGAAAAAACAGGACAGCAAGACAAGCTGTAACGTTTGAGAAGAGTAAATCCTGCCAGGCACAAAGCGCATCACAGTTCTCCCTGCCCTTAGTGCCTGAAGCAGAGAACAGACAACCTGCTGCAAAATATCCGGATGTGTTTTGGAGCCCCAGTTCTTCAGCGAAGAAGGGCACGTGAAAGAGTCATCTATATGATTTACTTAAACAACTCCCAGAACTTTGACTATGGATTATGGCTAGCAGTGAGGGAGCACAAAACCCGCAGAGACAATAAATTCCTCTTGCCCTTTTTTTCTGAAAAACTGTTCACACACAGCTGGCTAATGGGCTTATGAAGTTTCTCTTACCATGTGAAGAATTATCCCAAATTCTAAACAAGTTTATTTGGGAGTGTCTCCTGAGTGTAAAGCATCATTTGTACTAAACTATACATACTGATTCTGTGGGGCAATCTTCACTTGCAGAAGGAGCTGCATGAATAGCTGAGTGTCACCCATTCACCTCAACTCTATTTGGGAGTTTTCCTAAGATCCTAAAGGAGAGGGATTATTCACTGAGCAACTGAAGCCACCATTCACTGATTATAAACCATGAGAATCATTTTCCATTTCACCAACAAATAAATTCTACATGGAAAAGCATTTGACATAAAATCTGTATACAAATTCTGGAATTCCTTGCTAACGGATGTTGTGGATGTGTGGATGTAAAAAATGTGCATGGATTCAGGTGGACATGTGCCTTAAAAATCACCACGTGGAGTTTTTAAATAGATAGGCTGCATATGGTTTGGGAAATGTCCTCAGCTGTCATGAGTGAGAACAGAGGAAAGTGCTTTGGAAATGTATTGTGCATGTTCTGTTTCTAGTCCTTGCTCAGCATCCACACAGAATCAGAGTCACCTAGGAGACAGACTACTGTGAAAAGTGGTCCCTTGTTCTAAGCCAGTATGGCCATTCATGTGTCCTTATGTATCTGGGTAACATTTTACTCATTATAGTCATATGTCTGCATGGTTTGCATTGTCTTAAGGTGTGCAGCACTGTACAGACATCTGGAAGAAGAGATGAAAAATATGCTTCTTTAAGCAGGTACTAAGTTTTGTCTCCTTTATATTGTGTGGTACTTAGGATTGTCCCTTAAGCAGATTAGCAGGCTTCCTCACTCTACCTCATCTCTGTCTTTACTGCGTACTCCGTTGTAATGTGTAATCACGGCCATCAAGTTTTTAGCATTTGAGAGGAGCTGAGCTAGAATTGCCAGTAATAAATAAATAAAAATAAATAAATATTTTTCTCTTCAAGAAGGAAGAACTGGCCACATCTGATATCCAAAGGGAATAGGATTCAGCCTCACAGAGTCCTAAATTCAGCAGACATGCAGACAACACAAAGCCATTTAGCTTTGCACTACCATGGACTGAAGTCCAAGACAAGGTCTTAGTTTCTCAGTTGCCTCACCATGATAGCTATAGGAAGAGAAGCATACACTTGGTTCAGTTTCACTAAGATTTATTTCTTTTTAGTTACCAGCAGATTACAGACAAGATAAAATTTGTAATATTATCATTTCTTCCAAATAAAAGGGATTTACAAACAGTGTGGAAAAATGTTAACTCTAACCTCTTTTCTCACCAGCCTATGAACTCTCACAGTAATCCTTCAGGTAGATGACAAAGGGGCAGTACTCCATATAGCTGAGAAGTTCTTCCAATAACATAATTCAAATAAGACAACACAGTTCTCCTGTGGAGATTCCCTTAGGAATCGGTACCAGGGTCATTCCCAACTTCTGAGACTCTAGTATACTAGAGCTACTTTTAAAAGTAGCTTACTTTTAAAACAGCTGCTAAAATAAGCAAAACATTTGAAAGTCCCAGGTCACCCGTGCTTTACTTTCGATTGTTACTGTTAATGAAACTTTTCCTCCACACAGTCTTCCAGCCACTCTGCCCCAAGCCTGTAGCATTGCCTGAGTTTGTTGCGGCCAAAGTGCAGGACCGGCACTTAGTCTTATTGAACTTCATCCCATTGGCCTCAGCCTGCTCAGATCCCTCTGAAGGGCCTCCATATCTTCAGGCAGATTGACACTGCCTCCCAAATTGATGTCACCTGCAAACTTACTGGGGGTGCACTCAATTCCCTCATCCAGGTCTCCATTAAAAATACTGAACAAGGCGGGCCCCAGCACCAACCCCTGGGGAGCACCACTCATGACCACAAGCTGGATTTAACTCCATTCACCACCACTCTCTGCGCCCAGCCATCCAGTCAATACTTAACCCAGCAAAGAGTATACTAACCCAGACCATGAGCTGCAGCTTCTCCAGAAGAATACTGTGGGAGCAGCTTTGCTGAAGTCTAAGTAACTACACCAACATCCTTTCCCTCATCCCCCAGGTAGGTCACTCAATCATAAAAGGAGATCAGGTTAGTCAAGCATGACCTGCCTTTCATGAACCCAAGGAAGACCATCCTGACTTAAAGTACAGATTTGCTTTATCTTAAGGATACACATACAAAGATTTGTATAAATGTTAGTTCTTATAACAATCAGATAGAATTTGGGTGTATGGAGTCAGAGAGCTAGCCAGGAGACACCTGTAAGATGCCCAAGGGACAACGATGCATCGTTGTCTGCACAGCCTTGAGGCACCATCTTCCACTGCCTGAAAGCCTGGAAGGAGAAGGAAGTGAAAGAAAAAAAGCTGCCAGAAAGACAGCTGAAGGTGTGGAAGGAGTCCTCCAGAATAAGGTCAAGAAGAGTCTGGACACTCTCAGACATATGGTCTGATTTTTGGCCAGTCCTTGTGTGGAGCCAGATATTGGACTCAAAGATCATTACTGGTCCCTTCCAAATCAGGATATTCTATGATTTTATGATTCTAGGGCAGCTACGACTAAGGACAAGTCTTGAGACAGAGGCTGACTGGACCTCTCCCTGCTGGCTGCCTTACGATTCCAGGAGGCATTATAAGCACCAGAGCCCAAGGCCTTGCAGGGGAAAAGACAGAAAACTCCTCAGGGATCACTGAGGAACAACCTGCCATCAGTACGCAATCTGGAAACCAGTTAGGGCCCGAAAGATGCCACATTCCAAGGGTAACATTGCCAAATGCTAGATTTATTACCCTGAGCAGGGAAGAGAAGACCAGACAGATAGAGGCATATGCAAAGACTAAAGCCAGGACGCATGGCCAGGTTTCACGCTCATGAGGGCTGAGGTGCAGAAGATGGGGAGGGTATCAGCCACCCCCTGGAGGACAGTGGCTCCAGAGAAGTGCTGTGACATGACAAGCATGGCCTGGTTAGCTGAGAGAGCAGGTCCACTGTGGCAGTCATCCTGACTGGAACTGAGGTTTCACTTCAGCGGTCTCTGCCCATTCCTCAATTCCCCAGCGGGCAACCACAGTGTGAGATGATGGCCATGCTCACCTCCAAGGTTTCCCTTTCCAGTCAGCTCAGCAGCTGTAGCCTGCTAGAGGTTATTTACTGCAAGCCCTTTCCCTCTGATTTCCCCCACCAAAATCCTTGCCAATCCACTTGAGATCGAAACCACCATAATCCATATCCTTAACTCCAAAATGACATCACACACATTGCAAACCGCAGCTTGGCAGAGACGATGTTAGCCAGGGGGCAAGCTGCAAAGCAGAAGCTGACAGAAGCACAAATACAAAAAGGGATCAGAAATGGGGTGTGAGAGAAGGAAGTGGTTTTGCACACGGGCGCTGAATAGGCAACTTTAGATGTAAAAACCCAGATATTTTCTTGCCAAAAACCTAGATCTCTTCTTCCAAAAAAACAGTTATTTTCTTGTCAAAAACCCAGTTCTTTTCTTGCCAAAAACCAAAAATCTTTTCTTGGCAACTTCTGCTCCGCTTGCTCACCAGTGTGAGTGTGAGTGACTCACCAGGAATTCAAAAACACGGGAGAACTGGTGATGCAAGCTTCACAACATCCACACCACAGCTACAGATGGTCACCTCTACAGAAGTATTCCAAGAAGCAAACTCCTCTCGGCCCCCACAGCTGCCCAAGCCACTTTAGCAGCACAATTCCCATTACTCAGTCAGTTATACACAACAGCTGGCTGGGCCAGGAAAGGAAAGTGCAACTCTCCACCCAGCTGAGACAGTGGTGACTTGGCTCATGTTCTTTCCTCTCACATTTTTTTGACGCAGTATCTGGGAGGAGCACGGCGTCAGGATCCCAGAACCCTCTAAACCAAAACAGAAAGCAGAAGGCATAAAGCCTTGTGTAACAGGGGTTGTACGTCAGAGCTCAGATAGCACAGGACCTGGCAGCAGCCACACACAGGATCTGCTCTGCAGCTTGTTTCAGCTCCGCACTCATCCTGATGGGCAACCTGTAAGTATCCTCCAGCGGTGTCCCCCACCCCTGCAATGCCATGGCAATGAGGGGAGCTACCACGGGAACAAGCAGTGCAGTCAGGTGCTAACATAGAGGAGGGAACAGCTCCTCCCTTTCCTTGCTGCAAGGGACTGCCAGCCTCTTGATTCTAGGCTCTGCACAGCTGTGTGCCCCTGCATGAGGATCACCATGGGCTCTCCCTCCCCCTAGGCCACACTCAGCCAGAGCTGCATGCCTCCTGTCCTGCTCCCTTTGCCCACCTGCAGCTCGCTGAGGGGAAGGTGTTCCCTGACTGCAAACAGAGACTGGGAAGGCATGTGCCTTCCTGATAGCAGCATCCCAATGAGCCCTGTGTTGCACAAATACCCCAGGCAGCTCCAGGGCCCAATACACAGAGCTGAGGCATGGAGCTCCAGCAGCATCCACCGCACGGAGCAGAGCCAGCTGGGGGCTGGCCATACATGGGTTGCTCTCTTGCACCACTGTGATAGAGCCATAGACTCTCCTGTTCAAAAGTCATTGGCTGAGAGGCAAAGGAGCTGTCTGTGAAAGGCCCCAGCTGTATGTGGGTGACAGTTCTTTCCTGTTTATCCCAGCTTCTCAGTCAGGCTGCCTCCAAGGCAGCTGGGACCAGGCTGCGGGCTCACCAACACTACTCTTGCCCCTCTGGCAGGCTGCCAAGCCTTGGCTTCATATCCAGGCTATGTGCTTTTGCTTAGTTATGCACTATCCAGCTAGCACGGGGCACCAACACAGGCAGATCTGTGGACAGTGGGAGGCTGCAAAGCTAAATCTGCCTGAGGAGGGACAAATAGGTCCTAAGAGTCTGCAAGGAGAGGAGAGGGCAGGGACCAGCGGTTCCAAGGTGCATCATACCTGCAGCAATCACTCAGCAGCATGGGCACCCTGAGCTGGCTCTCCTCTGCCTCTGCAATACCTGTGCATGAACCTGCTAGGCATCTAAATTTGCTTCCTTGTGTGGCAAATGTGATACAACAACTTTTAATTCCTGGTAGGCTTGTTTGTTTGTTTGTTTGTTTGGGGGTGGGGAATAGAAGATGACATGGGATGATTAAGCAGAAACCCCATGCTTCTACAAGCCTGCCTTCCTTAGGACATTTGTGTAGAGCATGGATGTCCAACCTTGGGGCTGCACTGTGTGAAGAGGACTTGCCTTGAGCTATGTATAAAATAGGAAATATATTTAATGCATATTAGGCACTTTTTTTCACATTTTCCTATTGAAACATAAAAAGAATAACAAAACCATAAAAGGAGTGGGATATTTGACCTTGTTTTTGTGAAACTAATGCATCAGTCTGCTTCGATGGCAGTGGTTGCCATTCTTACTGAGTTATCAAGGGGTTTGTCAGGTATTTCTGATGAAATTTTACTCTTACTGTATATCATCCTGGTCTTGGGCCAGACACTGAGCACCCTGATCAGTTGTAGGTGTCCCTGTTCATTGGGACACCTACAAGGAAGCAGTTGGATCAGATGGTCTTTAAAGTCCCTTCCAGCTCAAGTGTTTATGTTTGTGTCTTTGTAGTAGGTTCAGAACACCAGGAATCCTCCGTGTGGCCTCCCAGCCTCTCCAGAAGCCTGCCATGAAGAGCTCCAAGGGAGGCCACAAGAAGAAGTGAGGCACTGACCTGTGGAAGGGGCAGACCTGTTTGGATCCTGTGACTCTCTCCATGCTGTGAGTATTCCTCCTGGCTGTAACTGTAGCAGGGGGAGAGAAGTCTGAAATGGAATTAAGCTGGACCAGGCTTTGGGCAACTTGATCTAACCATAGCGTCCCTGTTCATTGCAGAGGAGTTGGACTGGATGACCTTTAAGAGTGCCTTCCAACTCAAACAAGTCTGTGATCCTATGATTTTTTTTTTATCTCTGTACACGTTTAGTGTAGGTGTCCTGTTCTCAAACATGCAGGTGAGTGGGAGGGGGATGCTGAAGGGTTTCCAGTCACCAGCAGTGCAGCCAGACACTGGGCAGAGGTGTGAGCAAAGTCCTTCAAAGTGCTCTGAAAACTCAGAGAGACTGTACCAAATCCACAAGTGTCCATGGGGTGGGAATGCATACAGGGTAAGTGTAGGAAGGTTGGCTGTGGACACCCAGGATATTGGGATGATGTACCTTAGCACAATTGACAGCGGAGAGGAGATAGCAGGACCACACTGTGAGCTCCTTGATGGAACTGGTAAATGATTTATAGGAGATCTTGAGCTCCTTACCCCGTGTTGGTGCTCCTGCACAGACCAAGGTTGCAGGTACTGCAATGCTGTCTGCCTCTGCAGCCAGCAATGCCCTTTCTTGATGGCACTTCCCTGTTTTTCAGCATGAAACAGCAGCTTGCAGGAAGGCACTGAGGACAGTCTGCACTTCTGGGAGAGCAGCAGGCAATTGCATTTACCAAGCTACCAGCCAGAGGAGGGAGGAAGACGGCGGCTGTAGGTCTGTCTGTTGCATCCACCTCCCTGGGCCCCAGCAGATGTGGGTGGGCAGATGCAGCTGGGTCTGGGGTACCCCTTGGTGATGTCACAGCTGCCCACCTGTGTAGGCATTGCTCCTCAGGCAACCAGGGCAGAGGTACATCATTCTTGCCTTCCTGTGGGGACAGGGGTGAGGGTGACTGGCCTTGCTGTGCTCAGATCTTCAAGGGGATGCAGGGCCCTTGGGGGCATGTGGAAAGTGGGGCACTAGTGGTATCAGGTGTACCAGGGCTGTAGGGACTGGGGGTAAAGCTGCACTTCAGACTCTTTCATGCCTGCATTCTGCTCAGCCGTCCAAAGATCACAAGGGATGTCCTCGTCTGACCAGAATTAAATAAGAAGCATTTTCCCAGGATAGCTCTTAACCCCATCCTTACTGGGCTGCATTGCTTCTCTTGCCTGCTGACACATTCCTTTCTTGTTCAATGTGAGGCTATGGCACATGGGGCACGTGTAGAGATAAGGGAACAGCACTGGTCTCATCTCCCATCTCCTCTAATACATTGGGAAGCACAGCCAGAGCAGGGCAGAAACACTTGAGCTCCATGTGCAGGGGAAGTGCTGGGTTCTCTGTGACAGGCACAGAGCTCTCCTTGGAAAGATACCATGTACTATAAGCAAAGTGTTCACCCCCCACTTCATGTTTTGCAGCAAGTGGCCCCACAGCAGGCTTCACCATGGTATCAAGAGAGCATGTGGGCCATGGAATGGCTCTGCTGTGCTGGAGGTACATGGGGCACCTGCTCTGTGCACTCACTGTCCTGGAGGTTGTCGGGACATTGGGACTGATGATCTACGCATTGCTGGTGGAAGCAGGGAACCTGGTCAACCTCCCCAGCAAACGCATTGGCTTTTACAACTTCTGCCTTTGGAACGAGACGGCCGGGAAGCTGCAATGCCTGGAAGTCAGCCATCTGCAGGCCATGGGCATCAGCTGGCTTGGAATAGCACTGGCCAGGGTTTGTGTCTATATCTGCTCAGTCATCAGTTTCTTCTACCCCCTTTTCCTTGCAAACGTGAGGTGCACGAACAAGGTAAAGGGCTGGAGGGGATTGCTCATCATACTCATCACCAAAATGTTACTCCTATCTGGAGGTCTGGGTATATTTCTCCTCCAAACTTCACCATGGATTCACCCCTCCGATTTCACTGGGGGTTTTCTGGCACTGGTTGGAATTCTGGCTCTGATTCTGCTCCAGATTCTCACTGTCACTATGTACACCATCTGGGCCAAGCACATGAAGCTACATCAAAGCCCTTTCACTGAGGAGGCCTTGCCCATTAAAATCTGAAACTGAGATGCAGGATGATGTGATTTATAACAGTAATCATGCTACAGCTTTAATCACTGGCAGGATCTTTATTCCAAGCGTTCACATCCAGTGTCCTGGTTTCAGCTAGGACAGTTATTTTCTTCACTGTATCTGCTACAATGCTGTGTTTTAGCTTTAGGATAAAAACAATTTCGATTACATACCAATGTCTCAATTGCTGCTGAGTAGTGCTGTGCAGAGCTGAAGATGTTTCAGTTTTTCAGCTTCTCTGCCAGGCCAAGCAAGGGGACTGAGGGCTAGGAAGCACAGAGCTAGGAAGGGTCAGAACCAGGAGAGCTGCCCTGAACTGATCAAAGGGATATCCCATACTATAAAATACTATGGAAAACCTCTAAAAACGTTTCACTTTCTCAACTATGGGTGCGTTGCTTAGCTGCACGAGTGGAAATCATGTGCTTATTTTGCAGTCAGAACCAGGGAAAGAAGCTTGCCAGAGGGTGTGGCATCAGAAGACAGACTGTCCTACCCCCCCTGAGCAAGTCTAGGCAAGTTGCCCAGCTGCAAAAGAGGCCTACGTGACCAACGTGACAACGGACAGTGTGGCTACAACTTCAAATTAAACTGGAGGCCACACAGATATAGAAGTACTTTGCATCTTGTGCTACAGGCTGCAGTGAGATACAAAGAAATATTTAACTGATAATTTGCTGTTGTTTCACCTAAATTTAGCCCAAGGGAACTTCAAAAGTAACTCAGTAACTGATATGTTCAGGTAGTGATATGTGACTGCAGCAGGGAGCTGGGCGGGGGACAGCTGCTGCTAGGGGACTGTCTAGGCATTGGTCATTGGGAAGCAAAGAATTGCACTGTACATCCCTTGTTTTGTAAATATACATTACTATTGTGTTATTTTCCTTTTCTCTTTTGTCTTACTAAATAATTTTTTTCAGCCCATAAGTTCCACTTTTGAGTTTTCTTTTCCTAGATTCTCTTCCCCAGCTCCCTGAGAGCTGCTTTTGGGTTTTGAAATTGTAAGCCAAGTAAAAACAAGAAAAAAAAGTTTATTTAGTTCTTCTCCCCTGGAGCTAAGCAGGTACTTACAAAATAGTTTGTTTCTCCAAATCTTTATTCGAAGTAACATGGGTGCATGAGTTACCACTCTTGCCCACATCACATGAACCACCTTGCTGGTATCGATCTTCCTTGGGACGTTCTTACTGCGAGCTGAACCTTGACTTTTCTAGCAGCTGGCATCAAAGGAATCCCACTTACAGGTGGGCTGCTGGTCCACAGCTTAGCAGTTCATGCCCATAGCAAGTATGCAGTCCCTCCTTTACTGCCCTGTGTTCGGTCCCATCCAACACAAGCTTGGCGCTCATGATGACCTCAGACTCAGCCCAGGCTCCCATTAGTGTCCAGCATACTTCACTATCCTTGAGTTTACACAGTAACATTTCTCCACTCCCTCTGTTGCTGTTTGTGAGGGTTTGTAGCGTCACAGTGACAAGATGGGAGGTTAAGGGAGACCAGCAGGACACTGCCTGACACCTGACCCAGGAATGCCCTATCTGAGGGCATCCAATTTTCCTTCTTGAGGGGCTGTGCTCTCTTAATCCTGTCCTTGCCTGCACAGCTGTGTAGAGGCAATGCTAAGTGAAGAAGATCTCCCTGACATATTTCAGAGCATCATCATCAGAGTCATCAAGGCCAGTCCTCTCTGCACCCGTGCCAGCACCAGAAGAAGATGGGGGGCCCGGGCTGTGGTGGCTGCCTTCCTTCATGCTGGCTGTGCCTTCGGGAGCCTGGCTCGGTGCTGCCTGGAGCTCCTGTTCCACCTGCTGATGAAGGTCCTGCTCCTCTTGGCTCCCGCTGCAGGCCTCCTCCTCAGCTCCCTTACGCTGCAAGCTCTGACACAAGGACCGTCAGCTGCCCCCCCACGCAGGGCCACGCCAAAAGGCTGCCCCTGCGGGCCTCAGCCACGGCCAGGCCGCTGCGCTCAGGATGAAGGGAAGCCGCGGGCTCACCTCGGCCAGCACCCCTAGCGCCACGTCCACCAGCTCCGCCTCGTTCATGCAGTACACGGTCGCCGCCCTGGGCATCGCAAGGGGACGGTTTATAGCGGGAAGCGCTCCGGCCCCCCCCCCCCTCTCCCCACCCGGCGGCACTACCTGGGCTCCGCCGCCGCTTTCTGTCGCCGCCGCCGCCCGACCCGGCCCGGCCCCCCCGCCCGCCGCTCGCCTTCTCCCGCCGCCTCCATCCAGGCGGGCAACAGCCGCCGTCGCCGCGCCGCCGCCATCTTGTGTGCAGCCGCCATCTTGCGCGCCGCGGCACGGCTCGAGGCTGTCCCCTCCCGGCCCGCCTCACGCTACGCACCACCAACGTGCTGTAGGCTTTTTTTTTTTTTCCTGGATACCGTTGCCGTACGGTAATGCCTCATTCCTGCCCTGCCTATCCCAAAGCTGGGTAGGAAGCCTCTGGCCAGTCCTTCCACTGAGTTTGCTGCCTGTAGAAAAGGCTGCTGTCACTACTGCCTGGTCTAGGAGCTGGCTGCAGTCCCATCTCTTCTGTTCCTCAGCAAAACAAGAGGCTTTTATTTCCAGCCACCTCCACTCAAATGTCACTCACTCATCTATTCCACTGCACAAAGACACTCTGACTTCAGAAACAGAGATTAGAAGAGCATTCTTTTCTTTAAAAAAAAATAAAAAAAATAATCACACTGACATCTTATTAACCCAGAAGCTACGCCCTGCTACCCAGCTAATTTCTGCAGATCAGCACATCCCCCATTTGGCTGATAGACCAGCTATTTATCAACTCTCCAGAAGCATCAACTGACTGAATCCACCCAGCCCTTCCATTCAAGCACTTGTTCTCCCTGACTCAACTGTTACTTAGTATCTTAGGAGCTAGCTCTGGTAATAGAGCACTATGAAGGAACAGGCAGGTTCTGGTCTTCTTATCCACCATGAAATACATCAGGCATTACGTAGTTTCTGATCTCTAATGCAAGCATTTCAGAAGGTCTGACTCAGGATCCCTTCTGCAATTGCCAAAGAACACAATACATCCAAGCAACGCAGCTATTTTTGCTCCTCAATGACTGGTACTGGTAGTCCCTACTGAGAGACTGTCAGTGCAGGAAGCACTTGGTGAAAACAAAATAGTCTTTTCTCCACATAGGAGCCTGTTCTTGGCACATTTCTGCCTCAGCCATCCTCCACACTTTGCAGCAATAGACAAACAGAGCACAGGAATCAAATGCAAGGGAGTATCTTCTTTTTATGAAAAACAACAACACAAAACGAAAAAATATTAAACCCAAATAATACTCTGGTTCTGCACTGGTTTTTCCAGTTTGAGCCATCCATTTCACCACACACAGTGCTGCCTCATGCATGCCTTCTCCAGTTTCTCTGTCTACATAGCCCCTGACATGATTCCAGCAGCCTCCTAACCATGTGCTACGTTGAGACCCCCCTAGAAGAGGGAGTCCAGCTGCCATAAGGGGTCAGTGAAGCTCTATTTTCACTGCTGCCACTGAAGGAGACCCATATTGGCATTCTGTCGCACAGTGGTTTGGCATGTGTATTTAATATCTGCCAAGAGGCAAAAGCTAAAATGAAAAGAGTGACTGTGGCATGCCTTCTTTCCCATGCAGTTTGTTCCTGTGGAGTTAACACTTTTT